CAAGCATAAATCATTAGCCTGTCCATCCTAAACCTAATTAAACATTTGCCCCTGTGCCATCAACACTAAATGAGTGGTCAGAGGTAGTGGCCAGTTAAGGTCAGAGTCCTCTGTTTTTTTCTTGTCCCATGTTCACACACTCGAATGGACTGGGTGCATGCCGTGCAGCAATCCTCTGACTATAAATAGCAACCAGTGTCATGGGCAATCTGGATAGCGTGTAAATGTAGACCCTCCTCCCCCCCTCCCGGATGTTCCGTTGAAGTTACCAACCTGACCTCTGACCCAAGAGCCTGGCTGCGACAGGGCCACCGCTGAACTTGAATTTCAGGGTTTCGAATGCAAGCGTGAAAACACAAAAACACATGAGCATATCTTCAAGTACAGTGCATGCACACATGCAAAAAGACACAGTCACAGTTTGAGACAGGTAGCAGTTCAAATATGTCACCCGAGGTCCTGAATACTTGCTGCATTCAATCACTGTAAGAAAGACGTAAGCTGAAAGATCAACTGACTGTTCAGCTTCTTTGTCTCTCAAACAAGGTGCTTATAGAAGCACTGCAAAAAAAATAAAACAAGACAATCTTCTTCTACATTCCTATGGTAATATGTAATCATAAAGCTGCATGCAGTTTTCCAGAGATTTTTAAATTGACTGCATTTGGAATAAGGTGATTAGGTAGAGCGCTCACACGGGTTCCCACAGACTTATCCAGTGTCTCTGCCCCTGCCAGAGTTATGTGATAGACCGGGGGGGTAGGCGGAGTGGCTGACATGCATAAATGAGGACAGGGGCAACTGATCTTCAAGGTATGTCAGTCAACAGTCTTGGGATATCTGGTGCACTGCACCACAGAAGACCTCAGCCTACAAACGTAACAACATTGTTCCTGATCTGTGATTCCTCTCGTCTCATTTTTGCGTCCAATAAAAGTTTTGTTTGATACCAAAAGAGCCATAAACATGTTACAATAAGACTTGTGTTGAAATAAATGGAGAGTGATAAATTAAAATGCACATGAGCAGTGTACAGCTTGGGTTGCAAAAAGTTACTGCATAACAGAAAATATGCTTCAGTGAGAGCAGCGTTCAGCATCAACAAATCTCAGTGTCCACTGAGATTTGTTACCATATAAAAGTATGGGTTGACCAGAAGTCCAGTGAATCTATGCTGACTTTATAACTCAAGGCAAAATGAATGCTGACAGTCAGAATCCCACCTTCAATCAATCACACCATCACCTGCAGCATTTCTGTCCTCAGATGTCTTTTCTCACATGAAACGGACGCACACACAACAAACTAAACTTCACACACTTTATGACACACAGGTCTTTAAATATCAAAACACATATGGAATCTACCATGGATTCCTTTTTTTGTGACAGTGCTGTATCTAAAATGTGCAAAAGTCACAATTACTAAAGAGCAACACGTTAAACAAAACACTTGGTTGTAACATTTTGGCTACTGTATTGCAGGATGTTGGTTTAACAACTTATTTTAAGTGCAAGCTGTTGTCGCATGCTGGAATGCAGATCATTTTCAAAACAAGTGACACTTAACAGAAAGAGCAGAGAAAGGCACATCTGGATGTAAAAGCCACAAGCTCATTTAATCATTGCCATCATCTTGTTTTGCATTGTCTGCTCTGCACTGGCTTTTCTTTTTGTGCCATGTATTTATTTTAATAGTCTATTCTTATGTGTGGTAGTTTTTTTATATATGTAACTAAGGAGGAACACCAAGACCAGCGTTTTTTTATATATTCAAAATATAGCTTTTTGATATAACTTGTGCACATAATGCATAAAGGAGTAGGTTTACTGTAATGTATTTGCTTTGAGCTATATGACTTTGGCCCTGGAGATACAGCAGAGATGTGTGATAAAGAACAGGTGCCTCGTTTCATTTTGTAACCAGCAAAACTAACAAATTGTCAAAAAACATTTTAATCCCTGCAAAGTCTGTAGAGCCAGTCAACAAGTGACATAATTATTTGTCATTAAAAATAGAGGAAAAAAACTTCTTTGGCCATTGTGGTAATGAGCCCAAAGATAACGCCCACCCACCCCCCAAAACAAAACAAAAAACAACGACAAAAAACCCACCAAAACAAAATGAAATTAAATTTATATTTATTTTTTTTAACTGCTCGAAGCTTGAATAATTTGAAATAGAATTGATCCTAAATGTTTGAAAGCTTCTTTCATGATTTCACCATCAGTCCTTGACATTACCCTTTGCTTTTCATTGAAACACCCGGGGATCTCATTTGGATGAGGTATGGTATGTTCCCCGACCTTGCCATTTCCAATAGACGCTCCTCGCCGTCTACCAAACCAACAGTTGACAAGTGTGCTCAGACTTTACGCATGGAGAGCGCAGGGAGAGTCTGGGAGCACGCATGGGGGTCCCTCCCTTCCAGGCTGCCCGTGGCCTCCTCACCCCGGCGGGCACCTCCAAGACTCTGCCAAGCCCCCTTGATCCCCTATTTCCCCCTCTCTACCTTTCCTCTGAAGAAACTACCCGGCGTTACGTCAGAAAGTGCAGGACAAGCAAGACAGCGTCTTAGGAGCTATTCGCAGGCATTGCTGCCAAACCCTACTTGAGGCTGCCTAAGAGCTCACTGCACCCAATGCTATTTACAAATCCAATCCTTTTAAAACATCAGCGGTATGTGGTAAGTCCGTTATTCATTCATATCATTTTATTTCTGCGCTGGGCTTTTTTTTTTTTCTCACAGCTTTCCTCACATGACAGGTCTCTGTTGCCGGCACAATTGCGCAAAAACCCAAAACAGCAGTGTAAACCGTGTAATGATAAAGAGTAGAATGGTTCACACTGTAGCTTCACTGAAAACACCATGACATGATGAAGCAACAGATGATTTTGACGCTCAGAGATTTCTGCAGCATTTTTACTCTTTGACTCTTTGCTGATCTCAAAAACAACATGCCCCACGCTCGAAATAGGAACCCTAGCCCCATCCCAGAGGTAACATGGGATACGGGATTGAAGGAGATGAACGAGACCTGGAAAGGAGCGATAGCCTGTCTCGGGGTTGCCGTCTTCTTCGTGATGACCATCGGGATCATATACTGGCAAGTGGTGGACCAGCCCAACAAAAACTGGATCCTTAGGGGAACTTTCAGCGGACTGATTTGGGAGAGAAAAACCCACTCGCTGCTCATACAGACCCTGACTGAGGATAAGACCTACGTGGAAATTGACGTCGGGAACGTAGGGAACACCGATATAGAGATTCCCTTCGTGAGGAACCTGTGCTGGCTCAATAAAACTGAGTTCTGCTATACCTGGGACTCGGTGGCCGAGGTGAAGATCTCGCTCGAAGCGAATGAGGATACGGAGACGGAGTGTTACAGCATGACTTGGGCACCGGTACACTGTCATGTGGAGCTGAAGGTAGTGTTTCTCTTTATGTGCACACGAAATACACAAATCACAGCAAAATGTGGAGTGCAAACCCAGTTTTGCACTTTATTCAGGCTAGGAACATTAATGTCCCCCTTTGTAGTTTGTAGTTTGTGGAATGACATTGCCCTGCTTTGATGACAGCCTATTTCTGGTGCACAGCGTGCAGCAATTTATAAGCAGGTCCCTTTGCAAAGTAATATAAGGCAGTTTCTCCGTCAAATATTATAGAATAAGAACTTTAAAAGCATATCAATAATCAAGAAGAAAAAATGTATTTCACTCACAATCTGTTCATATAACTTATTAACGGAAAACAGAAGCTTTCAAAATGGTAGAAATCTCCTTTTAGAAAAATAATTGGAGAGTTAAATGTGTTTCTTGCGGCATACGTGATTAATGATATCGTTTTCGAAGTGCAATTCTGGCAAACGCAGGATAAATGTTTTAAATTTGTATAAATGTTTTTAAATTTAACTGGATTTTTATATTGATCTTCAGTGTATGGGAATTATGTTAAACTACGTGAAACAAGCATGCGCACATACAGTGTTCCTTTCCTTCTTTTTAAAATTTATTTATCTGCATATTTGTCACACTTGGTACTTGTTTCAGATAATCAAGCTAGTTTTACAATTTCATGTATTTTAGACAAAGATAACACGAATAAATGCAAAATACAGTTTAAAATGATGCTTTTATTTATTAAGCACAAAAACGGTTTGGCAAATAACAGTTGTTCAAACCTACCTGGCCTTATGTGAAAAAGTAATTGCCCCCTAAACCTAATAACTGCTTGTATCACCCTTGGCAGCAAGAACTCCAATCAAGTGTTTATGATAAGTCTTAGTCGTCCTAGTAGTTTTGGCCCACTCTTCTGAGCAGAATTGTTTTAATTCAGCAACATTGAAGAGTTTTTGAGCATAATTGACTTTTCAAGGTCACGCCAAAGTGTCTCACTCGGATTAAAGTCCAGACTTTGACTAGGTCACTCCAAAACCTTAATTTTTTTTTAGTTTTTTGTAGTCATTTGAAGGTGGATTTGCTTGTGTATTTTGGATCATTCTGTGCTTGAGCCTCAGTGAATAGCCGGATAGTCTCCTTCAGGATTTTCTGATAGAGGTTTTCTAGGAAAAAGCAGAATTCAAGCTTCCATCAATAACTGCAAGTCGTCCAGGTCCTAAAGCAGCAAAACAGACCCTCATGATCATGTTTGACTCTTGATAGGATGCTCTTTTAGTGAAATACTCCGCTATTTTCAAGCCACATGTAACGGGACGCAAACTTTGCAAAAAGCATTTGTCACATCAGTTCACAGAATGTTTTTCCCAAAATTTTGGGGATCGCCAAAATGTTTTTTTGCAAATGCAAGATGAGTTTTTTTGTTCTTTTTGGTCGGTGGTGGTTTTTATTTTGGAGCTCTTCATTGGATGGCATTTTTGTCTAATCTCTTTCTTATTGCTGAATAATGAACACTGACCTTAACTGAGGCAAGTTAGATGCTATTCTGGGTTCTTTTGTGATCTCCAGGATGAGTTGTCAGTGCACTCTCATTGTAATTTTGCTAGACCTGCCTCTTCTTTTTCAAGTTTTCTCCATTTGTGGATAACGTCTCATTCTGTGGGGCTAGAGTTAGTGTAAGAGGGGCTTGTTTGTCTAATATTATTTTTTTGGGATAATCTGAAACATAAGTGTGACAAATAGACAATAAAGAAATAAATAAATCAGAAAGGGGACAAAAAATTTTGTCAAATCGTTGTAGGCGACTTGTTATGCTTCATTTCTGTCTCTTTCTAAAGCCATTTAATTAACTACACTGAGTGAAGTACTTACTGCACTTTCCCCTGCCTTAATCGTCAGAGGCATTTAACTGTTGCAAAGTTTGGGTAGGTTAATCTGTCCCCACTGGAACATTCCTCGACTTAACTCCCTGTCATGTGGTGTGACTGCTCACAGAAAATCTTCTAAACCAAAGTCACATTTATTTTCATAATTTCCAAAAATCCTGCCCAGAGCCTCTCAGGTGACTACTTGGCACCTGTTTTGAAACTGCTTAATGGAGCCCAGATTTGCTGACGTGAAAAAATAAACTTAAGTTCTGCGTATTTGTCTCTTGAA